ATTTTTTTATTATAAAATATAATGTGCTTATAGTAGTAAAAATGTTGGCAGAATCTTGAAAGTTATATTATTTTGGTACATTTTCAGAGGGACCATAAAAAAACTGGAGGGAGACAATGGCTGTGAGAAATGTTATATGTCCTAAAATAGATGGTGCAATGTGGAATGGAAAATAGAATTAACTATGAAAACGTTGGTTGTGATGAATTGTAGTATAAGGAAGTGGGGTGGCTTAAACTGTGTGTTGGCTGCCTTCGTCAGTCCCTGCCAACCTTTTGGTATTTATGGTCCGATTCCTGAGACTTTAAAGGCTCCTGAAATATATATCTGGAAAAATACACTAGTAACACCATTATTCGTAGAATCTGTATCTTTTAACAAATCAGGCTTTGTGATTAAAACAAACAAGATTAACCACTGAAGTTTGAAATATTTTATTTCCTTTCAGTTTTATCAGAAGACACCACCAGTTTATCAGATGTGTAAACAACACCTATTGTCAACACCAGCCCAGACGGTTTACATCAGCAGCAGGACCTTGTTGTCACCCTGCAATCCAGCCCTGCATGCTGCTACCTGCTTCCTAAACTCCAGATGTGGATCCTGCAGGTTTAGCTCCCACATGAAAAAGAGGAAAGTCCAGGAGGAAGATGATCGAAAGAATTTAGGTTTACTGAGATACGACCTGTTGTCTCTTAAAAATGTGCCCAAGCCTGCTCTTTACCTTGGGTTGGGAGGTTTGATCCCCTTTGTTGCTCCCCCTGTTGTAATGATTGCATCATCATGCTACTACCCAGAGTTGGGCTACGCGCAGATAGCATACGGTGCCACCATACTTTCCTTCCTTGGTGGTGTTCGCTGGGGTTTTGCCATTCCGGAAGGCAGCCCTGCCAAGCCCGACTGGATGAATCTGGCTAACAGCACGGTTCCAGCAATCTTTGCGTGGATAGCTCTTCTCTTCAAGGATACCCCAACAGAGTCTGCATTACTTGTTATCATGGGATTAGGGATTGCATTACACTATGACCTTGCCCTGCTCCCTACTTACCCTTCGTGGTTCAAAGGATTGAGAGCTGTGCTAACGTTCGTAGCAATCTTATCGCTAATAGCTACTTTAACGATTTCAGGGCTCTATCCACACAAAACATTGGTTAAAGGACCACCTGACTTCTGATACCTTCTTCCACAATGCAGCAGGTTTATGAGGTGCCAAAAAACTAACTGCTTGAACAAGTAGATTATAGTTTGACACAATGAATCCTCCAGGCCAGGTTTAATCACGCATATCAAAGCTCACAACAGTCAACAAATAGATTGTATTATGTATATTTTATATACTCATTCATACAGAAACGTACATTTCTATGCCAAAATGGAAGAACACGTTAAAAATGGACGCAATGGTCTGAATAAAATACATTGGATCAATAATGTATTCACCCATATTATCAGCATCGGTTGTCAAAATGACAAAAACGTGATTCAAAATCATTGTCAAAATAAATAAAAATACCTTTCAGCTTTCTTAATGTTCTAATGATCTTACAGCCCTTGCACAGCAGACACAACAAATGGCCCTGAGAGAGCAGAGAGCGAGTGAAGACTACGGTTTGCTCAGTAAGCTTTGCAGTGATGCTTAGGATCATCCTTTAGCGATAAATATATCATTTTGAAAGTTTAAACGCGATACACGCAAATCTATTTTTGCCTGATATAAACAGGTTTTCTCACTGAGTCTGCATGAACAGGGGTTATTATTCTCATCAAAGATCAGACCAACAATCATCACCAGCATTTCCTCTCAAACCTGAACTCACTCTGTAATAAACGAAACGTTCTTTGAACTCTTGTGATTCTGTGTTCCCACATTTTGTTTGTAAGCTTTTCTTCACTTTCCAATAAAAAAAAAAAAAAAAGCTGAACAGATTTAAAAACTATCAATGTGAGAATTGGCAGCTTTTTAAATGCTGTAAGTTTGATATTGAACTCATAAATTACTATAAAAGCTTCCTTTACAGCTTGCTGGTGGCTGCCTTAAAGGGACACTGTAGGCACTCAAGTGCTTCATTTCACTGAAGTGGTTATAGTGGCAGGAGTCATCCTTCCATTCTGAGTTATATTGTTTTAAACGTCATCAGTAACCCTATACTCTCCCTGCTACCAATGAGGAAGCATTATCTTGAGCAGCACTGGGAGACTGTGATTGTAATCTGGCCGCTGTCTGCCTATCACTGCATCCATTGCTGGTATGAATGGGTATGGCTAAGGAATTGTGTAAGCACTGGCTTAGTCATACCAACAGTCAGGGCCACAAAATGGGTGTACCCTCATTCAGCAATAAACTGTTTAAAAATGTTTTAATACAGAAAGGAGGGAAGAGCCAGCAGTCTCCAGGCACTATAACAAATTCAGTGAGATGAAATAGTTACAGTGCCTGCAGAGATATTTTATGGACCCAATTAGGAGAACCCGAGGATACGGACAGGGTTATTTACTAAACTCCAAATTGTAGTGAATATAGCCATGCTGTGACTAGTGCGCAGTTGGAGAATTTTTCTATTTCAATTTTTTAGCCATAGTTTTGCCATTGGGTTTTAAGGTCAGAGCAATTCTTTGTTTAGTAAATAGCCTGTCAAACAATTTTCTGGATTATGTTAGACAGAGAGAAACTGCCAATTGCACTTGCTAGATTGTAAATTTTTACACAATTTGTCAACTGATTAATAGTTAATGGATGATGGGAACTGTGCAGTAACAGGGCTGTATGTTACAGATACAGAAGGGGTGTGCATTATGGTAAAACACAGGTCATCCCATTGTTTAAAGTGATAGTATAGGGCTAGGAATACAAAGTTGTATTCCTAGCACTAAAGCTCCCTTACGCCCTCTCCCCCTTGCAGTGTAAAGGTTAGTAAACCTTTACTTTACTTACCTGATTCCAGCGTCTCCTCCGACCAGGTGGGCACTAATGTGCAAGCACAGTAAACGACACAAGTGCATTAAGCCCTCCTCATAGGAAATAATTGCTGCAATGCTTTCCTATACGGATTTAACAGACGCTGGGTGTACTTATGCAGAGTGGGAGTATGTCCAGTGTCAGTTATGCAGAACCACCAGGAAGTGCCTCTAGTGGCTGATTGACAGCCACTAAAGGCAGTCTTAAACCTGCAATGTAATTATGTATTGCTGTTTTGCAGAAACTACAATAATTAACATTGCAGGGTTAAGGGTCACAGCACCCACTCACTGCAGTGACCCTTAATGCTGCCTATAGTGTCCCTTTAAGGATTAAGAGAAGTGTGACTGAGCTGAAACCCTGGCTACTATGGACTAGCAGATGTAAAAGTACAATATTTATCTGTAGGGGAAACCATGTTTTTGCATGATTGTTGCATGGAACGATAAAATCCAGACAAACGGTTTAATATGGGTAGGACAACCACAGGCACACACTGAAATAGGACTCCACAACTAACATATTATACAGGAGGCTGGATCTAGGTTTTATGCTGTGTGCATAGATTTTCTATGCTGCATGTACAAAGAGGTGACTGAGGGTTTGAGCCCCGATGCTGAAAAAAAAAAAAAGAGGAGTACAACCCTTTGCTTTATGGCAAACAGGAGGCGGCGGCCACTACTCTAGATAGGGACTGGGACACTATAGCATTGGGTTTTTAATCCTAACCCTATAGGGTTCCTTAGTACATACATACATACTTATGAGTCTTGTGTTTCTTTTGTAAGGGATCATTCCTGGTGTCTGTATTTATTGAAGCAGAGAAGTTATGGTTTTGTAGCACCACACTATTTAGTTGTTTTTACTGTGTTTGTGTACAAGATACATGGTATTTTATTCGACTAGTGTAATATTCAGTAAAGTGAACGTTCCCCTTAAACTGCAGCCTGGAAAACACACCAAATCCATTTCATGTTAAAAGACTGATTTATAAATAAAAAATTTTATTGGAAGTCTAGTACCGCAGATCTAAAACAAATATTCCTGTGTTTTGTATTTACAACAAACATTACTCAATTGCAATCAATAAAATAACACAATTTTATTCAAAACTACTAAAATATATATTTCGGCAACAAATGGAGCACATTCAATCCAACCCTCCACAAAAAAAATAATTAATTTACAATTAAAACCGTGGATATTCCTTGTAAACGATGCTGTTATATTGTGCAGCATGGAATGCTGGAAGCTTCAGTTTTACGGAGTTTCTGCTATTGTTTGAGACTTTTTAAAAGTGCCTTCATCAAGACCAGCTATTCCCCCTTTTTTGAAAATGCCTTCTAGATGTTCCTGTGCTAAACGCCAAATACCACGACTGGGAGCAAGTCGTACCTCTTACATGTACATTATTGGCAGACAACTTTAAAGGGACTTGGGCCGAGCCCTCATTTAATAAATTCTATTGATTATCAATTTTATTGATTGAACTATTCATTTATTAAGCAATTCTACGTCAAATATAGTTACAGGACACCAATAGTCCTTTGTGAAGGTACATTGCTCTTGGCTGCTTTTCACAGCAGCCATCTTGGAGGAGGTAGAAGTGATCTTTAAATAGGTAATTCAATTTATGTGTCCCTATCAAAAGTGGACCCTGTCACCCACGTTTTTCAATGATAGAGTCTTATAAATAATTTCTCAATGAAAGACTAACTTTTTTTTTTCCTTCTTTCAGTTGATAAGTGCCATCAGGAGTAACTACCAGGTAGCTTACATTATTAAAAAGTGCCTTGTTGCTTGGTTAAACCATTGCAGTAGTTTGTAACAAAGTCTAAGACCGTATTCCAATTGCTATATGCCAGGTAATAAGTATTCAGCTCATTTTTAAATCAGGGAAATTTTGACTCTCACATTAGCTTTGAGAAGCAGGATGTCTGTGCCTCCAGTGAGAAGCTTGGGAGATACAGAGTGTTTGGAAGTGTTCTTTGTTTGCACAAGCAATTTCAAAGTCAATAGAAGCATATTACTTTCAGGATGTTTGTCAGAGAACAGCCAGCCCCCCCTCACACCGGCTGGTAATCATGTTGCTGATTTCAGTCCAGGAATCTGTGTGTGGATTATAAACCTCCACAGAGTCGGATGTAACTGGAGCCGAGAAGTTCTGAACAGTGGCTCGACCGCCTGCCGCATACAGCAACCCATTGACGCTAATCACCGATACCCCCGCTCTGGGCTGCTTCATTGATGCAATCTCCACCCATTGCTCCTACAAACGAGAGGAAAGAAAATCACACTCCGTGTTATACAGGCCCTGGCAGTGATGTAGAATTATTAAAATCTTTATTAGAACCTGTATTGAATTATTGTACTAACTCCATTTTGTTCACCTTACATGACAGAATTTCCTGACAGTATTCAGTATAATGAATAAGAGATTGTATTCTCTCTCTAAGGACATAACTAGCCCCGGAGTTAGCGGATCTCCGTTGACTTGCAACATAGTATAATCCAAGGCCAGGAGAACAGTGACAAAATGAAATGTTCTATTCATAAAAGAACCTTGGAACAGACCACGAGACTGACATCACTAACTACGTAAAATGACGCCCAAGCCCCCCTTTCCACCGAGTAAGCCTCGTGCTAAAGAGCAATGGCGACGACATCCCATGATGGGAGGGTGCCTCACTAGTCACTCAAATCTCTGAGCCAATTAATAATATTAATGGGTGGACACTGACATAGCCACTTAACATTTAACCCAATTAATGATGTTTATTTGTTATTATCTGATATTCAATGATGATGTCATTTTGCATATAAAAAGGCCTGCGTGCCCACTTTTTAACTAGATGCTAATAAATTTCCTGAAGTGTTTTTAACCTGAACTGCATGTGTCAGTGTGAACTTACTTCTGCGTATACGCAATTTATTCATCTCAGATTTGGACAGGAACAGATAGACTTTTAAACATTTTTGTTTATTTCTAAATTAATCTACATCATCAGGAAGGCACGTCAGGCCTCGTAATAAGGTTTTTTTCAGTTTATTCACAGTTGGGAAGTGTTAACAAGCATAAGCCTGCAAACTGTGAAAACGGAAATGAATTTCTTCAGACTTCGTTAACGTTACCATGAAAGCACCATAACCACCTACACACCTAGCATGGAGGCCATGGTCAATCTCACTTTAATTTGGTCCTTATTACTGCAGAGGGTCATGCAAAGCGTGCTCTCTCTAACCATTATGGAGATATAGATATATTAAAAAAAAATACAGAAATTAACTTTTTGGCAAACTAACAGAAGCCATAGTGAAGCTTTTCGGTAGCTTGCATCTTTTCACTGAGCAAACTGCTGGCAATGATGTACTACACATCCCACAAGCCTCAGCTGAATATGGTTTATAGCTGACCTTATTCTGGCCTTTGCAGAAACTGTAGATTTTTAGTAAATGGGAAAATTTACCCTTACTATTGCGAAAACCCCAACTAAGGCTGGCATGCACGGTTTTACTTTAGATATTCAGTATATTTTAAGAGATCACACACTTTGTCGGCATCCGTAGAGGATTAAGGGGTACTGATGCTTGAGTAAACCCCCCACTAATCTCTGACAAAGGAATTATGGGAGTTCTAGTACATCATCATAGGGGGACAACCTCGTTTTAAGAACCCTGTTCTAAAGTATTTGAATAATCCCACATTTCTGGAAAGGGAAAGTTAGAACTTCTTAAATGTAAAATACAGAATAAATACACCGAACCATAATACCTCTTCAAATGAGAACCTCTCCACAATATTGAGCGCGTCCTGTCTCTCGTTCCAGCCACCCACGGCATATAGACAGTCATCTAAAGCCGCAACCCCCAGGTAGGCCCTACAGTAACGCATTGGCGGTAAAGAGGTCCAACGCCTGGCAATGGGGTCATATACCTCGGCAGTGGTCAATTCTATCCCTTCATGGCTGACACCACCAACCACATAGATAAGTCCTAAAAAGAGACAGTGCAGTCTTGGTTAGACAGTGATTTTTACATAATAAGTGTAGATTGATATAATAACAGAGGAAATCGTGAAGTGTGTGCAGTATTTATAGGTTTGCATACATTACAGGATGCAGTTACCAATTAGCTTAATGACAATCCTCAGTTATTGCAGTATTGTTAGAGTACCTTCTCTTTCACAGCAGGCAAAGTTATATCTGGCCACTGACATAGTTCCTACGATCTGCCACGCATTCTCCTCTGGTGAAAAACGCTCAATGCCATTTCCAATTTCAGATCCGACCCAGCCACCTGCAAGACCACATTTCCTGATCATTAACTAGGATGTTATTCACAAGAGATACACCAAAAATACTAAATAGATTTATTGAGAAGTGCTCCTTTAATGATTAAATAGCAAATCATTGACACCACTTGCTTTACATGCAAGAAAAATGCAGAAATGAGAGCACATATTTCAGTGTGTATTAACACACAGGGTTACATCAGACATTGCATTTAGTGACAAGCTAAAGCCTTCATGCGTGGTAGCAGGGTAACATGTAACCAGATAAAACATGTATATTCGAAGCATGGGCTGGTCACCAGTGGGGTACCTCAGGGTTCTGTACTTGGACCCATTCTCTTTAATATTTTTATTAGTGATATTGCAGAAGGTCTTGGCTGGTGCCGAACACAATGGTTCACGTTGCTATACACATTTATACACTACTACTACATACACACACAGCCACAAAACAAACAGTATACACACACACACACACAATCCTCTAGACTGTAAGCTTGTTTGAGCAGGGTCCTCATCTAATGTTCCTGTGTCATTTTGTAAATATCTCATTTATTGTAAAATGTGCAATGCCAATCAGCAGTGGCTAAGGCCAGTAAAGTATTGTCATGCATGAAAAAGGGCATTAATTTTCGGGATGAGAATATAATTTTGCCTCTTTATAAATCACTGGTAAGACCCCATATTGAATATATCCTGTGCACTTTTGGGCACCTGTTCTAAAGAAGGATATTATGGCACTAGAAAAAGTACAGAGGTGGGCTACAAAATTAATAAAAGGAATGGAACATATCAGCTATAAAGAAAGGTTGAAAAATTTAAACCTATTTAGTTTAGAAAAACGTCGCCTGAGAGGGGATATGATAACATTACACAAATATATCCGGGGCCAATACAAACCATTGTGTGGAAATCTATTCACAAACAGGACTATACAAAGGACATGAGGTCATGCGTTTAGACTGGAAGAAAGAAGATTTCGTCTAAGGCAAAAGAAAGGTTTTTTGTTTTGTTTTTTACTGTTAGAACAATAAGGATGTGGAATTCTCTGCCAGAGGAAGTGGTTTTATCAGAGTCCATACAGATGTTCAAACAGCTACTAGATGCATACTTGCAAAAATAGAATATAATTTTTCAATGTAGGGTAATAACTTCTCGATCCATTCTGGGGTCAAGAAGGAATTTTTTCCTAGCTTGTTGCAAAATTGGGAGTGCTTCAAACTGTTTTTTTTGCCGTCTTTTGGATCAACAGCAAAAAACAAATGTGAGGAAGGCTGAACTTGATGGACGCAAGTCTCTTTTCAGCTATGTAACTGGGTAAAATCTCACTCTCCTTCAGAATATTGTAAAGCGCTACGGAATAGGTTGGCGCTATATAAAACACCAATAATAATGCTAAACTTAGTACATGCATAGTACACACATTGTAAGTAGCAATATAGTGTTTTAAGAATTTTGCCCTTACAATGTTTTTTTCTTCTCCTTACGTCACTCAGTGTGATATTACGTAACATTGAGGGATGTTCTCTACAATGGTTCCACACATACATAATTAAATTATGCAAGTTAGCACAGACAATATTTTTTGCAAGAAAGGTGGATGTATGAGCATGAGGAGAGAACAGGAGACATGGGGAGGCTTACAAAAGAACAAAAGGCTATATTTACTACATATAAAAGGATTACAATTTACATACATTCAGCAGAGCTGAGAGTTCCTGCAGACTTGATAAGCCACTCTTAGTGGGAATGATCAAAGAGTCTTACAATGTCCTGTCTTACCTGGGAGAATCGAATTGTGTTAATTTATTCAGTTCTCTTCTTAAACAATACAGGCTTTCCTGGTCAGATTTAAGTTCCTGATATCTTATCTTATAACTGCAATAGTATATATTTTCATAGATATTAAGGGGTACCACTTACGACACACCGTGAGATGCTGGACGCCGACTATTACGCCTTATGCACGCACATAAATACCTTGTTTATGTGCATCGCTTTACATTAAGAGGAGCAGCCATCTTTGGTCATAGGCATCATTTATCTATCCAAAAAACATGTACTTAACAGAGAGCTAGTGTACACTGAATGAATACAGACATCAAATGATATTGCCAGACATCATTAATAAAGTATGTTCTAACCAGGTGCTTCTTCAGAGTTGCTCCCAGCGAGCAAAAGGTAAGCCAGGGCATTCTAAGATTGCTATAGTGGTTTTGGTATGATCTCCCGGTTCTTTGTCAAAGTTCAAGCCATTTGACACAAACAGAGGATACTCCGGCACCCACAAACATTGATTGTTTGAGAGATTCAGTCAACACTCCCAGCTAATTCCACACAGAAAATTGGCCATCACCATAACCAATAGCGGAAAACAGAACGAGTGGTCTGCCATCACTGTTACCACGACTTCCAATGGCTGTAGTTTATAGCGATTAGAATATTCACTTAACATACATGTAATATGTTCTCTCTGAGCATTATTTTGCAATGCAGTCATGATTATCTTATGTTGAGCAGTAAAAATAAACTGTCCAGTAGAAAAACAAGATGGCTTCACACGGATTAATTTATTTATAAACCTTAAAGGAACACTATAGTGTCCACTGTACAGCGCTACAGAATCTTGCTGGCGCTAAATAAATAATAAAAATACATACATGTATTCCTGACAATATAGTTGTAAAAGCACATTTTAGGTCCTCAGCTTGATAAAGACCCAGTTGGGTCGAAACGTTGTTGCTTTTGCCCCAATAAAGCTGCTATTTTTGCTACTATCCAGAGGGCCAGGACCGTTATTTATTCTACATATCTGGAAGTGGGGCCTGGCTGACCCTGGTTGTTTGGGGAGTGCGGTATCCATTATATCTCTACTATAGTTTAAAAACACATTTTAGGTTCCTGGCTACCCTTGCCTTCTTTTAAAAAGTAATTTTGCTTTCCTTATTTCCAGCGCAGCATTGGCCTCGCTGCAGCTGTCCCCACCTCTTTGACGGAGATCATCATATTTATTAATCTCAGCTAATCCATTGGGAGGCTATTGTGCATGTGCGGCAAAACTCTGCGCAGTGCCAATCAGCATCTTCTCATGAACATGCATTGGATCAACATTCAGCGTCACGCTGTGCAGCATCGACTCAGGAAGCACCTCTAGTGGCCATCTGAATGACTGCACCTAGAGGTGTTACTGGGCAGCATTTACATGAAAAATCCTGCAGGGACAGGCTGCAGACACCAGAACAACTACATTGAACTGCAATTGTTCTGGTGAGGATAGAGTCCCTTTAAGAATCACATTCCAGCCGTTTACACTGAAAAATAGATATGCTCATGTATAATGCAAAAACAGATTAAACAGAGCATATCAACACTGGTTGCAAGAACACAAAGTAAATGAATTACCAGGTCCAAATCCCTTTAAAAAAAAAAAAAAAAAAGCATTGTAACATAGTAATAGGTCAGTCAAGTAATGATAGCTTTGTGATTACGAGTGAATACAGGTCTATACAAAGTCAAACCATTTTCTTAAGGGTCTGATTTGAAGATTAGAGGCTGTGATGCAATCATAACATGTAAAAAAAACTCCAGCTTTCACACATACTGGCTATTCTTGCACCATAGACATCCTGTTAACACAAAGAGGAGTGGGTGGGACAATTGACTCACCCAGAGCATAGATGGCACCATGGCAGGCGCAGGCTCCGAGCCCACAGCGTGGTTGGTTCATGGAGGAAGCTGCAGTCCACTGCTTAGTCACTGGGTCATAGCACTCAACACAGTCAAAGATCATGGAATCTTTTTCACCTTTCACATGAAGGAGAAAGTTTTAAAAAAAGGAAACAGGATATTGAAATTGTTACAATGGTACAGCGGTTTACATGCAAGTATTAAATCAGGCATTTCAGAGAATAAGAAAAGAGAATGGCTAGTGTGTGAAATACAGCAAATCCAATGGAAATAAATGTATACTGGGGTCTATTGAGAAAGTGCAATTTAATTTGTTTCATAATCAAGAATATTCTTTTACATACATCAGTCTGTGTGTGGCTCCCACTTGGAGAGGAGAAGAAAGCACATGGGGGGCACTGGTGTGCAGGAACTAGAAAGGAAGTTGTGGGGTTGATCTACTGAATGTCATTATTGTTTATCGCAGACATGGGCAACCTTTGGCATTCCAGGTGTTGTGGACTACATGTTCTGGAGTGCCAAAGCTCACCTACCGCTGGTCTAGGGAATGCCCATGAATTGCAAGGCTCAGTGTCAAGGCATTCAAAAGGTAAAACACTTTTGTTGATATCATCCTATGGCCAGTGTTAATGTGTCAAGTAAATATGGTGGGCTGAAAAGAACACTGTAGACACCCAAACCACTTCAGCTCATTGAAGTAGTCTAAGTACAGTGTCCCTTAGCACTGCAATGTAAAACTGCAATGTTTATATTGCAGCTCCAAGTCTGCCCACAGTGGGTGTCTACTAGACAGCCACTAGAGGACTTCCTGAATTAGTCCGTTATCTGACGCTGGAGGTCCTCACATGAGGACCTCCAGCGTCAGATTTTTCCCCATAGAAAAGCATTGATTCAATGCTTTTCAATGGGGAGACCTAATGTATGCGCTGCATATTAGAGCCCGCTCGTTGCGGGATGTCGGAGCATTGTCCCTGGGATAAGGTAAGTTAATAAAGGTTTTTTTTAACCCTTTATTTACTGGCCTGGGGGGTGGGGGCGCAAGCAAAGGGGGAGGCAGGTGGAGCAATAATGCTAGGAATACAGCTTTGTATTCCTGATACTATAGTATCCCTTAAACACAATATGACTATAAGGTGGAACTGAATCCCCATATTTTTACTTAGATAGGTGATTTTAAGCAGCTTGATCAGATTTATAAAGTGTATTTTTATGTGCGTGCTGTAACTTAAATTTGTTTCAAGTAAATATACAGACCTGAAAAGCCTATTAAAACTTAATTCATAGAGTGAATAAAATATTTTTGTGCTCCAAATTTTCTTTCCTTTATTTTTTTTTAATTATGCAGTCACTTCACTTAAACCAAGGGGCCAGACGTCTTCACAAACTATGAAAGTCCTACGAGGTTACTCAAGAGTGAATTTAATGTGAAATTAAACTTTTAGGGCAATATAGCTTAAAAAACTGGAAATATTAGTCAAGTCAGCCTAAACTTTTGAATTCACACTTTAATAATTTACTTTGTCAGTGAATAAGAACATTAGAAATTTCTACTGAGCAGCGCTGGATTGAAAGAGTTAAAGTAATTAATCCCTTTTACGCCTTTATGATAGTTATGTTGTAGCAGCAATGTTGTTAATTATTCTGCTGATACAAAGGAAATCCAAGTCAATACCCGAGACACGCCTCTGTTTCCTGAGGACAGATTTAGTGGTCCATCAATGACTGAATGGAACAATAATTCAGATTAAGAGACATTACTCTTTCACTGAAAAGTCTGTTTAGATTTCTGAAAAAAAAACCAAAAAAAAAAAAACCTGGAACTGGTCTCCTGACATAAACCCCCAAATCCACCAGAGTTCCAGGCTCAGGGATTTTGAAATCATTACCTCCGATTACATATATCTTCCCGTCCAATACAGCCACACTCATGCCGCTGCGAGCTTGGTGCAGAGATGAGATAGTGCTCCAGTATTGGCTGAAAGTATCGAAACGTTCCACACAGCTCAGAGCTCGGCTGTCGCTCCATCGCGCCCCCTGCAGGCGAATATAGCCACCTGGGCAAAGACAAAAACAAGCAGCTCGCATTTACATAATTTACATGAGATCTAAGAATTCAATGGTGTCTGCCTGGGAGAGGAAGCACACATTTACATAGAAGTGAAGCGTTCAATGAAGTCCACATGGGGAGAAAAGGCAGCAAGCATTACAAAGTATTTGCATGGGTGGCACCCAGATTGTAGACTTGCTGTGCGGGAGACAAACACACATCACCATTCAAACCGTACCTGGGGGGAGGGAAGGTGCTAGAAAATAAGCTTCCATGTCATCACCTTCCCCCTATCAGTGTCTTTTGGTGAAAACTCCACTTTTTTATGGCTGAAATGTTTTCCGAATTATTTTTTTTTTTTTACTATTTACAAATCGTGTGATGGCCAAAAGTTCAGGCAAGATCATATGCCCTCTCATGGGAGTATAACTCAGGACGGTCTCTTTGAGGTACTTTGTTAAAGCACTCCAGACCCCTAAAGCACTTTATTTTGCTGAACTACTTTTTGTGCTAAGAGTGTGTCCTTTTGTTTTCATTTTTAAAAGGTGCCAATTTCTATAGAAATCTCTACTTTATAAATTAACCTTGTTACACCTGTCAGTCAGACAACCAGTCATGTTGCTTCCTGGTTCGGTTAGCTCAGTGGAGCCAAACTCAAGAGGTAGCAATTGCCCAGAGCACCTTCTTTGCAAAGATTTATCATTGAGCTGCATTGGGAAGTCTGTGATTGGGCAGCCACAGAAAGTCTGGGCGGGGTTAGAAGGGGAGGGCTTGCAAAGGCTGCACAGGAGAGTTTTGCAGCTTTTGCAAGCTATTTTTAGATTTACTCCAATGAAAAATGCAGAATTAAATGCATGGGTGTTCTCATAGGAGTATATCAACTAAACAGTGATTAAAAAAATAGTCAGTGGTTTGTCATTTTTTTAGTGTTATATTCAAAGCACTACTTATACTTATGCAACATTAAATTATCATTGTGCTAAAAGATGGAGGTGAGCTGAATTTGCCTTCTATACCCACAAGCACTGTTTATTTTGAATTCTTTCTATAAAAAGCACATTCAAATAAAAAAATAAAAATCCAAAAAAATAAATCATCCCTACCAATGGAATAGAGGAATTTACGAGCTTTTCTGCGTGGACGAACACGAGATGCTTGTAGAGAGTTGCAGTGCTTCTTATCTTTAGGCGAGTGGCACGGCTCGTAATATTCCCTCAGCAGAGTCTGCAAAGCCACCCGCAAGTTGAAATCAGTCACATCTATAGTACGCAGGGAAATTAGAGGACAACTATCAAAAATTTTTGTATCCAATCTGAACAGGTGAAGGTCAAGCATCTAGGTAAAAAGGTGTGGCAGCCATTTTTACCTTCAATGCTTTTTTGAAGTCTTTGTGGTGGAAGCAATGAGAAGCGCACTGGTTCCAGTACCTCAACTACATGCCTCTTGCGTGTTCCAATGTCCCCCTGGATCCAAGCCAGGGCAGCAGAGAAGACTTGATGTTCATCCTCAATACAGAGTTCTTCACTGCGCAAGATACGGATCAGCTGGTCTTTTGTAAGAGTTGGAAATTCATCCCCCATCTTTACCTCTGGAAAATGTGTGTGGATGTAGCTCTCCGTGAAATCGACCAGTGATTGGCAAGCCAACTGCTCAGAGAATTGGAAAAAGCCTACGCAGTTGCCTGGCTCAATCTGGTCTTTTAGGAAGTCACAGCACAGGTCTACTACATTGCTCAGCTGAAGCATGTCTGCTGCCGTCATCAACTCTTGTACGTTCTCTCCACTAATGCTCACCGAGCCTGTCCAAGGAGAAACAATAAAGACCAAATAATTCAAAGAATGTTTACAGGGAACAACCAAGTCATGACATATATTAAAAAAAAATAAAATAAAAAAATAAAAGAAAGAAAAATAGCTTGTTGGATTAGACAAGTTCCTGTACATATGTAAGTAACACAAAGTGCATATGGTGCTTAGACGAACCCTTTAAAAGAGTCGGTTATGGAAAAAGATGATAAGCTTAGGAAGGCTTTACCTACTTGTAATATTTTTATACTTTGTATCCAGTAATCTGGGAGCAGAGTGTGTCACGGGTATACCCCACCATACAATCTATGGCAGACAGGATAGCAAACAAGGCCCTAGATCACCATGTGATATCAAATTCCTAAGGCTTTAAACTACAAAATTATTTTATTAAAAGTGGGCTGGTTATGCACAAATCCATATATTGTGCATATGGAAAAATCTACATTAGCTACCTGAAGTTTGCTTTGTGATTTGGAATGTAAATTTGGCTCTAAGTCATAAAGAGCTTAGAATGATGGGTGAAGTGTACAGATGACCAGGCACCTTGGTCCTTGGTTAGTGTCTAGGAGATGAGATTTGTTTCCTGGTCATCCATATACTATTACTGTGTGATGGATAGAGAGGGATGGATGGATAGATAGAGAGGGATGGATCCATCCTTCACACTCACAATCTCTCACTCACTCACTCACAAAATAAGTTTACTTACGGTTTGGAATCTGCTGGTCGGTCTCTGGTCTTCAGCCTGTCAGCCAGAGCCGCTGTTTGTGCAGGAGAACTTGGTTCCCACACTGTCGGCTCTGATTGCTGACAGGATACTACAGGACACAGGAGGCGCATTCACATTGCCTCCTGTCATCACGTTTAAAGTATTCACCAAAGCGTGAAGACATCAAAACGTGATGAATGCGAATTAGGCATTCATGAACTCGGAAGTTCCTCTGGTGGCAGTCTGAGTGACTGCATCTGGAGGTGTTCCTAGATTCTAATGTAAACATTGTATTTTCTTAGAAAATACAGTGTTTACACGAGAAAGGCTGCAGGGAGCTATAGTTCTCACCTAAACAACCTCATTAAGCTGAAGTTGTTCAGGTGACTATAGTGTCCCTTTAACATACAGCATCCTGCAACGATGACTTGGTAGTGAGATGATGCAGTTTTATCGGCACATTGTCACAGCTGGTAACGGGGTACTCGTAAAACAACAACAAGTGCGCTCCAATGAAACCGGAAATTGGACTCACCAGGCAGCAATCTTCAATAAAGATCTTCACATATAAACAGAACACTGCAAGGACCAACTCACACTTTTGAATAAGCCTTGGATAGGCGAAACGCGTCAAGTGGGACTCATTCTATTTTTAGACTTTTTAATGTCTTTTACTATTTTGGTTAAAATAAAAGTTTGCTTTTTATAGCTATTCACCTTTTATTTTTTCTTTGCTTCCTGGTACAAACATATCCATAGGTGGGGATTATACCACCCATGCTGTTTAATCTAGAGCAAGGCCTGCTCTAGTAAATGTAAGTACATTACCTTATTTTCTTTATATTTACAAGTACTTCACCATTGGAGTTATCTCCTGTTTATATTGGTCTCCATGTATATCACGCACGTTGCATTGCATTTGGAGCACCTGTATTGCCAACATCACCACAGATCCTTAGACGGGGATTGTACCGTCCATGCGCAACACAGCAGAGCTCTCAGATAGCTCAATTAAATGTGAGTGAATCTCATATAGCACTATTATTTCCATTTGTATTCTACTATACTGTATTGCACTATTACTGTATTCTTTTTTGTTATTCTGAGGTCTACAGTATTACACCATCTGAAGATTTATGTACGTATAACTTTGGGCACGGTATACGCCATTTATTCTACTATTTACTCATAAAACAATGCGGCTTAAATAAGACATATACGTCTTTAAGACAGAGTAAGCAACGTAACTCCCATACAGCTCAGTCGGCTAGAAAAAGGTAAAATTTCACATTGGATCGATGCAACATTTTATCTTTCCCAGGTCAATATAGTGATTACCACTGAACTGGAGAAGAAGAATACCATCTATACTATACCCAACCCAGTCCTCATGGACCACCAACAGTCCAGGATTTATGTATTTCCCTTTTTATTCAAATGAAGATACTGGCAAAACCTGAACTGTTGGTGGTCATGAGGACTATGTTGGGGGACCGCTGAATAGTACAGGATTATTCTATAAAGGGTATTCTATACCTGTGTAAATGAAGTCCAGTAGGAGCTGAAAGCTGCTTGGCTCCAGTCCCTGAATCTGTACCACATCATTTGATGCCTCCTTCATACCCCCAGCAAGCAATGCGGAAAAGTACGGACTGCTGGCAGCCAGCACCAGCTTGTGCACCGCAAACACAGTTTCTCTGATCTGTATCTGCACGTCGCAGAACTCCAACTGAAGGCGCATTTTGTTTATCTGGGACAGAAGGTGCTCAGCGTGTGTATCGAGGGTGTGCAGGTACTCCGTGGCTTTGGGTGAAGGCTCTAATTCCATCATACAGGACCACACAGTGACACCAAAGTCAGAATTCAGCTGCAGCTCCACTAATTTGACTGTATAAAATAATATAAAAAACAGGGTTACTGATACACATAATCAAGTAAAGAGAACCCCAGACCCACACGTACTTGCAGATAAAACCTTCACATTAAATGACACTGGTAGAATCTAAAATCTTAAACGTAAAATTAAAATTGCTTTTATTAATCTCCTAGATATTAGTCTTGCTCGTGTATAGAGAAAACGGTATGAAGTCATGCGATGCGATGGGTAAGCGTCAAGACACCTTAAACATAACAGCGTTTCTAGGAGTGAACTTACAAACTGTCACCTTAAAAAGCCAAGAATATAAAATTACATCTATAAAATTATTGACTAAACTCCGAACTGCAGCAAACTGAAATCAGAATGGCAACATGTAGGCTAAAATTTTGATCTGAAACAAATCTTCAATCAGTTTCATTTCGACTATTTTACCATCAACTTTCAAGTCAGATTTAAATTCACTAAAATGTGTCTTTTCTTGATAAATCTCTATATGTTGCACTTTCAGAATATCTAAACAGATTTGTGATTTAAAATAAATGTAAAATCCTGAATTCAGGTATGAACAAGTCAATGTTCCGTATATCTAACCCAGCATGCTTTGCACCTTTCCTAATAATAATAATTTTTTTATATATCTTAAAATGTAGATACTTGATATTCATTCCACTAGTGAAACGTAATTACACAGAATTAACGCCTATAATCCTTTGAGTGCCAGTTTGTTCTACCAAACGTTGCGGCACCGATAGAGATATATATAACTTGATATTGTTTGGGCCGGTCTGGCGTGTGCATACCATGGGAAAGTCCTGGGCTTGTCCTCTGGTGTCCGGAGACATGTACCCCAATAAGCACAGTGCATCATTAGATGGGCTTGCTCTGTTAAAACTAAACTCTGGGAATTCAGCCCGTATAGGAGACAGTGCTCTGGGTATACGCAGCCCTGAGTGGGTCTCTCCCTCACTACATCCAATTGTACAGCGCTGCGGAATATGTTGGCGTCTTATAAATGCCAATAATAATAATAAAAATATGGTGCCCCTGGCATGCCGCCTTGCAGCCAGTCCCACCCCCTGGACCGCACTCCTATTAATACTGAGAGGCATGCTGTCACAGGAAGAGTGCTGTCCTAATGTATGAAGCATTCATATTCTACAGGAGATCCACACACTGGGTTTATCCTGCAGCATATGAATTCCCCATACAGCAGGGCAGCACTTACCACGTGCCCAGGAGACCATGCTGGACCTGGCTGGCTGCATATTACGTCACTGACACAAACCATGACATCACACCTCACCTCCTCTCTCTCTCTCAGCAGCTCTGAGCAGCAGCCAGGCACCTGCCACGTCATCAGCAGGCAGCCCTGAGCGCATCTTTAGTACGTCACCGGAAGTGGGGCAATACAGCGGCCATGTTGCTGGAGGCACAGAGCTAGAATCTGATTGGCTCCTGATACCCGGAAGTGAGTGCTGTGACCATGTGTCCAGTGTGTGCTGAGCCCCTGGCTGAGAGTGATAGGCTGTCATAGGAAGAGATCTCCCCATGTTACACATTTCATGGTGAGTTGGAAAATTGGAAGAGCTTTTT